ATATCTTTTTTTTAAGTGTTTTGTGTCTTTGAAAGAAACAAAACGTTTATGTGAAGAAAATAACAAATAGTAAAAGCTCCCCGAACTTTAGTTCGGCCGACTACTGAAATAATTGAAGGATGTTATTCTTTCCTACATTGAAATAATTGTCCAGGGCAACGTACAGCTATTTCTTACGCTCAAGGAAAATCACGAAAAACCAAACTGGAAAGTCAAAATTAGCTCGACCTGAGGCGCGAACTGCACAGTTTCGATTTTTTCACATAGGTATTTCCCTAAGAATTTGCTTCGCTCAAGACGGACTACACTAATCGCGTGTATTTTACTAAGATTTACGATGAATTGTTTTTATAGCAGGATTATTAAGTATTTGCAGATTTTTGTAGTTCCAGTGATATTTCCTAAAATAATGTTCACTAGTGCTAGGAAAAGTATAGACTGCTCGATAAATTTGTATACTGAAGGCTCCCTTAATCTAAATAAAATTCCAAGAAATGCTCGAACTTAGCGGAGAGCGTTAGATACCTTTTTCTTGATAAAACTATCTATACGTGCCGCAGTAACGCACCACACAAAAGTCATCAAACGGTTATCACGAAAAGTTGTTTTTCACATTTTATTGTTTATCAGCACAGGTGAAAATCACAAGATCACAAGTCTGTTGTTAAAATCGCGGTGAGTATTTTAGCTGTTATTTAGTCGCGCTATCTTGTTATTGTGTTTCGTTTGCGCCTTCAAGTTGAAGCTTGTTATTATTATGTTTACTTTCCAATCTCCTTCACCGCTATAGATAACTTATGGAGAACCATTTGAGTGTAAAATATTTTGTTAAACTCAAATTAAGATTGGGTTGTCGAAATGATGAAAGGAAACAAGATCCAAATTGCATATAAGCACTCGAAATCACTCGTGTACCGACGACAGGCAAAACTGCCTGAACAAAAGCCCCAAATCGTCTTTTTTGGCCGCAATTCCTTTGCTATTCGGCCAGTAGTGTTCACAACCAAAGCGTTAAACAAAAAATGCTTTTAAAATATACTGAGTAATTACGACATTTACGTACAAGTAATATTAAATGTTCTCATAAAATTTTCTCCGAAGAGAAATAACCCAACCATGTACATGTAGTAAGAACTATGGCGGGCTTGAACAAAATACCCACTCCGCGACTTAATGTAAGTCAATTTGTGGAGCTAAGTTTTATGACCTATAATCTGTCGCTTTAAGTGCACTTTTCTAAAAGGCGTTTAGGATAAAAGGCCATTTCCTTGATCAGAGGTAGCTGAGAATAAACTTTCCGCTGAATCATTTCTGTGTGAAACGAGAACGGCTGACTTCAAACTCCGACTACTAAACAGTTGCCGGACAGGTCCATTCACACTGTTCATGTCACGAGAATTTACTGGTGGCTGTACAAAAATGTTTTCCACAGTCATCGCTTTAGCAGGCTTTCAATGCTAAATGTTAAATTACAAGTTGAAGAATTGCTTTTGGTAACGATACTGGCATTCCGCTCTTCAGGGTACTGAAGGCCTTTGCGTTTCGTGGGAAAACAATGTCCTTGATCTTCACCTCCGTTTGACAAATACGAGGAAACATGACCATAGAACTCACCGTCGGCGGAAGTGCCTTGTTTCATGTTTTCGTTCTCGCAACTCAACTTTCCGTGATGAGACACTTTTTGTCCGATTTTCTCGGCGTTAACTTCGTCGCTGTCTCGGCTAGGACATTCGGTCATCTCGTTGTCTTCGTCTCTCACTTGAGAATTCTTAGGCCTTCGTTTTCGCCTCCAAAATCTTCCCTCTTCAAACATTTCCTCGAAAGACGAATCAAGAGTCCAGTAACAACCCTTTCCGGGATCGGACTTGTCGCGCGGAACCTTTACAAAGCACTTGTTTAGTGACAAATTATGCCTGATGCTGTTTTGCCATCCTCTTCTGCTCTGCTGGTAATACGGAAAGTTCGTCATTATAAACTGGTAAATTCCGCTCAATGTCACCTTTTTCTCTGGTGAATTCTTGATGGCCATAGAGATCAGCGCTACATAAGAGTAAGGCGGTTTGGGAAGTATCTCGGCTGGGTAGCCATAAACCGCGCCGAACGCCGACCCATAACCCGGTGAATAACAGCATCCTTGGCTGGCAGGATTGTAGTAACAACACGAACAAAGCATATCGGCGGCCTGCTGTCGAAATCCTTGCCCTGGCAGACTAAGAGCAGCATACGGGTTGAACCTTAATGATGTGTATGTACTATACATGTTGACCTCTCGAAGACTGATTTCCTTAGTGCACAAACTGCGCTCGGTCCCACCACCTCTCTCCTGAAGACAAACTTCCCGAGTGGTATTTCAGCAAACTTCTAGCGGATATAGGCTCGGTTACGCCCTTTTAAAGACCACCCATCTCGCAAGGATCTGATCAGACTGATCAGACCTCTGTCTCGCTGTTTGTTTACGATACACATTTAAGTGTTTTGAAGACCACACAGCTAACAGCTCAAGCGAGCAAAACCATTGTTTCATGTATGGAAGACAGTCAAAGAGCTCGGATTAGGCAGTTTGCTATTGTTTCTCCCATATTCGCGTTAACGATAGCGAAGCGATTTACATTCCTAACCAACACGTTTAACTTAACCAAATTAGAATTAAGAGATAAAGTTAGAACGTTGAGCAGAAAGCTAACAATAGATGTTGAAGCGACCATCTGCTCGAAAGCCCATTTTATGTACATTGCACCACTATCTCGCACCTACAGATGGATAAATATTTATACGGGAAGTTTGTTTTAAGTCATTTGTAAGCATTTAAGGCTCGTTTCATTTTGCTCTATTTAGATTGGCACCGCTTAAAATGTAAACTATTGTGAATCTTCTTATGACAACTATCTGTTTCTCATGTACGACCATTTTCGTGCCAATTCGATAACGCAGACACGGACCATAGTCTTTTCTCGGCCTGCCGTGGACGTCTTAGCTTTTGGGTTCTCTCAGCCGAGATGAGAAGCTAGGAAATGAAATCGACAATTAAATTACAACAATTTGAGGCTACTGATCTGGTCGATAGCATCGCTGTACGTATGGCGCCACAGGAGTGCCTTGGAAAGGAAAATATTCGACCGGGCCGCGCGCGCACAGCACCATGCAAGATAAGATTAGAATATTGCTGTTTGTATGAGTTTGGGATCCTATTGAGGTTTTGATTATGATCCAGATAAGTAGGAAGTGAAGCTAATAAGCCTTTACATATCACCCTAAATTTCCTCTGTCCACGTGATGAAAAAATCAAGTCTTCAAACAAGGTCAACGCAAACACAGGTTTGTTTGAACAACTGGATCCAAAGAATGTCAGCAAACGTGCAGCGTGAGAACTGGCCTTAAGTTATTTATATATATTACAAAACAAAATCACCCACGAGGACAGCAAAACGTGTAGCATCTCTCTAGATGCGCCCATCTTTCATTCTTTGGTTCATGAGAGATGCAGTGTCTTCTAGCTTGACGCAATTTTCACTTCTACAAACCACAATCGCGACCGCTTTCCTTTGGAAACGAACAGCTTTCCGTGCGATAAATTAGAGGGTTGTTTTCATAAACGCGATTTTTCTTTTTAATGTCACACAAAAACAAGACCTTTTTGAAGTCAAGTGTTTTAATTAAACAATAAATAAACTGTCGGCGGCTTTGGTTGGTCTTCGGTGAAGACAGCTTTTATTGGGCTTAACAGATCGGAGAACTTCAAACGGCTTTTCTTGAGTCATAAATAGGATTGATTAAACTGAGAAAAGAATAATTATTGTGAGAGCACAAGGTGATTATCGAATTTGTTTTTATTATCGAAGTTTTCAATTTCCTCGTCAATTCGTGCCTTGAACGCGTGAAAGATAATACATGTGGCAAATGAGGCAAACATTGAGACGCCTCTTTCACAGCCGCGTCTCTTGACACTTAATTAAGGAGGAAATCGGAAAGGTTGCTAACGCGATGTGACCACAGTGTAGAGATTACATAATCTTAAAAAAATGCTGTTAATGCGTGGGGATACATCAAGTAACAGCCACTTTAAACAGACCGCTGTTCAAGAGAAAAGCAAATAATGTCCAGAAATACATTCAATTGTCAGCGCGCGCTCCAGAGTAGAGTCGTACTCTTTGTCAGAGGTTTCTCCTTTCAGTTCGAGCAACAGCGACAGGAGAACCTGGTGGAGGGAGGGGAGGGGAGGGGTTAGAGAATAATGCCCAGGGAGACATTCACAGACCCGGGCTTTATTCAAGACGTTCATAACGTATTCAGTTTAAAATCAAGGTTTCACCTGTACAAGGTTTTCTCGAAGAAAGACAGGTTGAAGAGATCACAAGAAAACACAAACAGTAGAAGAAGGGAAAGGGAAACAAAAGCGAAAGAGAAGAAAGGGAGGGAGGGGAGGGAGGGAGAGGTAGAACTCCTCACCCCCTCTCCCCTTCTCACCACACCACCCAAATTAATATTTTGCCTGTTATACAAGGTACGTTTTGTCCAAGGATGTTCACCATAAAATGATGAGACCAGAGATCAAGCCGCATAGACAGGGGTCCACGAAATGAGTAAGGATATAAAAGAACGTAGTCCAGTACAGCGTTAAGGAAGTTAAAAGAACTGTCCAAGCGCAGTGGACACTGCTGTCTCCCTTCCCTTCTTGCCAAAGGGCCTGTTTCTCGAAAGTCCCGGTAACTTTTCGGGCCCGGAAAGCTGTGTTGTAGCTTTTTGTGTTTGTTGTGTTTACATTCAAGATCAAAGTTTTAATAATTTTGAAAATAATACAATGAATCTATCAGTTAACGAAGTAAAATTGACTGGTTTGTGCGCTAGGACCTGTGCTACTATTCAAAAGCTTTTGATTTTAAAATCTGCCTTCGGACCCAAAATTTTCCGGGTCTTTCGAGAAACGACCCCCGAGCTAATACCCGGGACCCTCTGGACGAACCCGCTTTGCAAGAAACGAAAAGAAGAGACTATTATCAGAAGTCGCTACGTTTATTACAAATACACTTGCATTTTTTTTAAGTTTGACAATCGAGAAGGAAAAAATAATTTAAAGTGACCATCTCACAGCAGTAAGCTAAAGGTGTCCTCTTGAAAAAATATTTGCACCATAATGTATATTATTACAGCTGTTGCACTTCGGGAAGGAACTTCTGGGAAAAACCAATAAAATGCTCTAAGCACACCTTCCTATACAATTATAGCTATTTTAAAATACTAGCTGATTTTGAAGGTTATAACAAATAGGTTTGATTTAGGTAGCAAGACAAACCAGCAGTCAAACCTAAGAGGTTGACGCAAATTATGAATGCATTTTCTTGACCTCTTCAAGTGCTTACAAGACACGAAGCTGACTGTTTTGTACAAAGACATTCGCGAAATCACAGTCATATTCTGAATTACAAGATAGTCTATAAACCTTGTGGCGAAAGCAGGTAAAACCTTATGCTTATATATTATATATAAACAGCTTTTGTTTTCTTCGTTTCGTGTTCACAAACCTCACAAGAATTGCGTCTACCCGTAGCGTCTGCCCGCTACAACGGTTTCTAATGGAAAGAAGCCTGCGGAGCATTTGTTCCCGTGTATTTGTGCGAGATACAGCTTTTGCGATGGGTTCGCAAGCAGCGTTCATTACGAAGACTACCACTTAGTTATATACTCAAGCAAAGTTGTGACTCAACCTTAGACTATAAAGAGCCCTTCTTTTCAGTCTACGCCCATCAAAGGTTCGTGCGAAAGAACAATAATCCTCGCTTTAATTTTTGTATCTTTGCCGCTTACCGCTGGGGGCTGGTCGTTCATTACCTTTGGGAGGAGGAGGGGGGCATTTTGCTGGGGAGTCACTTTCAAAATCTTGATTGGTTTTGGAGGGTCATTTACTGATGAGGGAGCGTTGCATGGAGGGTTATTTTAATAAATTCAATGAAAGTAATACAAAGCAGTAATGAGCACGAATTGAAACTGAATGAAACAACCGTAAAAAGAATACACCAATCTTAAAAACACGGCTCTAGATAAAGAATGTGGTGACCGTCGGCAAGATTTGTAGCTAGAATATTCGTAATTTCCACAGCTTTCGGGTGGAGTTCACTTTCACAATATGTAAAATTTATGTGCGGTCATTTCTACCAAGCTAGGATAGATTAGGAGGTCGGTTTGAAATGCCCCCCTCCCCCTCCCCAGTCACAGGAAATAAGCGATTTCTCAATAACTCAATCACCCTGTCAATTACTTATTTACTCTTGGAAGCCAAGGGTCAATGGTATGTGTGTCGAGGGAGGGGAGGGGAGGGGCACTTATAAAGGGTGTAAACAGTTAGTAAATCCCACCCTTCACAACCCAGTAAAGTAACAGGAGTCATTAAGTACTGGAATGAGTTGCGAGGCTTGGATGTGAGGAGCGGCATCTGGCTCTTTTCCCTTGGTGTATCGACTCTACCTCCGTTCCCCCTTAAAACTGACTGTCCAGCGTCGTTTTTCTTATGCTGGCCTACGAAAGCAGATGCTTTGAATCCTTTCCAGCTCTCAATTCACCCGCTGCGTGAAAGAATAGCTGGAAAAGAAATCCTCCCTAACGGGCTAAGCCACTATTTCCTACTTCTTTGAAGTAAAGTTTTACTTATACACAACTGTAAACACGTCTTCTGGTTTCCACAGTCTTTTCGCTGTTCCTTCTGATCAAAACTTCCTAACAGCCACTCAACCTTCTAATGAAGGTAGGCATTACTTGAAATATCCACCTTGAAAAACACTCTTCTAATGGGATCTAATCATATTTCCTATAAAAATCAAAACCAAAACTGAGATTAGACGTAAGTCAAGTGCAGATTAAAAAAGGCTTTAGAAAAATAACAAAAGAGGGCAAAAAATATTTCTCACCAGAACTGGAAATATAACCTGCACATCGTTTCGTCTTGGTCATCTTGGCGAAGGATTTGGAGAATTCTACAGAGAATTTAGATTTTCGGAGTCAAAAGTTCTTTTCTAGAGAGATGTTTCCTGAAGCTAATATAATTTTGAAGGAAACGCCATGTACCATCACGGGCAATAAGTGCCCTATGATGGAAAAACCAACTAAAATATTTATTCACTTCATCGGTTGTAACAGTTAAATCAACAAAGTTGAATTGTTAGTTGGATCCTCCCTTTCAATACACTTTAATTTTTAATCATTGGATTATACAAACAAAAAAAAATATTGATCTACTTAAAAAAGGCTAAGTCACGGAATTTTGGGCAATTTTCGTACTTTCTTAATTGATTTGAGTAAAATATTGAAATGACAGCTTAAAACTGCAAAAAATCAGCACGAAATAATTTTAAGGAAAACGGAGCAAGAAGGTGACATGGATCGGCAAAATGGGAAACGCTTTAAAGGAACTGCACCGTAGTAACTAGAAAAAGGACGGCAAGTTTCTCTCTACTTGATTGATTTATCCAAAGAAAATACAAAAGTGCGTCGCTAGCTGTAAGTATAGAGCTCGCAGTTAGGTAAAGTAAACAAAATAATTCAACTTAGTATCACGATCTGGACCTTTTAAGTTAACGTAAACGAAACTAAACATTTGGGACTAAATCATGATTAACCCATTTTGCCCTCCAACTCAGTCATTTATGTATGACTGCTGTTTCTAATTTTTGAGAGCGTAAATAAAGTGTTACGATGTGACCACTCACATAAAACCCCTTTAACAGCATTTTTGCAAGGCGCTGTTTATTTTCTCTATTTTTCAAAAAAAATGAATAAGATTTGTAAATTTCTTGGCCTCTGATTTCAAGAAGCGAAAACTCTGAAGTAAAGAGATTAACACGAAATTAAACACCTGGGATGTAAACAGATCGTATTTTGCTTGATTGCAGATTTAAGAATTATAATCGCGGATTTATTTCTAATTTTTTTTGTTTGTACTTTGGGAATTGATCAGACATTCATCAAACAACACAACACGATTCACGAAATCCGTAGCTCATACCTTAAGTTCCATGACCTGAAAAGGCAGATGGAGAGTGGTGTTCTTGTGTTCAATAACAAGGTAGCCTCTCTTCTCGGATGCTCGTATCACTTTTACGGCATCACCTTTCTTCAATATAACCTCGCTACCATCATCTGCAACGGAACAAGACATGAAGCGTTCATTCTCGAATAAAACATCGGCTCAACAAAACCAATAAAGACCTCAAGAAGAGAAGTAAAAAAAAGGCAAAGAATTCGTTTTAAATTCATAGTCTTCTGATATGGTACTAGAATTGTGTTTGCAAAATAGTATAACCAGTATTTCCCTGTGGTAATGTTTATCATAAAAATGGAATGTTTATCACGGTTCTAATCCCTGATTCCTACTCATATTTTGCTGTACAAGACAGTTCTAACTTTTGAGTCTCAGGAAAAAATTAATCAACTTACGATCAACTTGTCATGTGAAATCACGTGACCAAAATCGTTCCCAGGGTTTTTCCCTCCCCACCAGTCCAAAAAACAGATGGCTTTGATTTCATTCTAAGTAACTGAACTTAAAGGTTTTGAGCAGTGCGTCAACGTCTGAAGAAGTAAATGACAAGCTGAGCAAAAGTGCCAACCTCCATTTTATTGTAACACAGTTTTGTACAAATCCAAGCAAACAGACGTCATCCAGTAGTCTTCTAGACTTCTACGCAACCGTTCTTTGTGCCGTTACACAACTCTCCTATCCACAGTGTTGTGTGACAACACAAAGAACGTCTGCGGAAGGGACAAGTAGTCCTGCGCTAAGCGCGGGAAATGAGGTGCGAAGACGTGCGAGCAAGATACATCTGAGTCTTGGTTCTACTTTGATTGGTTGAAAAAGTGACGCGAAATTTTTACCCAATTAAATCTCAATCGAGGCAGCCTCACCTGGATAATCGACTTTCATGATGCGGGTCTGCGGGAATCCCATCTTCATGTTTCCCATAACAGTGTATGGTCGGCTTTTAGGCAATGGAGGAGGAGTTTCCTGTTAAAGATGATTTTAAAAACCTTACCGGCTGGTTTGTTTTTATTCTCGTAAAAGTTTCCTCAGAATTCAATCTGACCTCTATCTAAATTACGACCTTCCTCGTAATATTATTGGCAATTCGAAAAAAAAAAAAATAAAAATGTTTAAAAAAAACCTTCAAATACAACAGTCATATTTCTAACGAAATAACAAGCTTCATCAAAAAGAGAGCTGGAGGTCCAAAGATTTCCTAAGCCGCCGTCTAAGTTAGCCTTCGTTTAAAGGAGCTGTGTCACGAAATTCAGCCAAATTAGGTAATTACAAAATGCCCGTTAAATTAAGAGAAACATAAAAATAACCGCTTAAAACATTAAAGGAAGGTTAGAATTATTATTAAAATAACACAACAGATACAACAGCTGCCTCGGATGGGCAAAACTGAAGAAGATTGAAAAGGATTGAAATTAGGGTTTTTGAAAACTGTTCAGCCTAACAGTTTTTCAAAGTTGATCCCTGCTGCTCGCAACTTCAAAAATAATGCTCAGAAGACATATTTGTTTGTCTTCAATCTATGATTTTGTCATTTCCATGTAATTTCTTTGTTTGCTTTAAGTTCCTTAGCGATTTAGGGCGAGTAATTGGCAAAATTAAACAAAATGAACTGGACTGCCGTGACACAGCCCCTTTAAATAACCGCCCCTTAGTATCTATCACAATCGAGGACTAGTTTACACAAAAGCAAACCTCTCTCCATTATCTACGAAGTCTCACTGACCATGTCAAGTCCGTATAGACAGCACGTTTGATCAGCTGTTTTCGTGTCTACACGAAGCTCATCCGAAGGTGACAACGACCTACGAACATGGCTATGAATAAAAAAGAACAAAGCGGTGTTTAGTTCGTCCGCTAATGTTGCACAATGTTAAACCTTGATTAACTGTTACTGGTCTCATGATTATCAGCTTTCATAATGAGTGTGAGACAAGACACATGACAGGGGCACTTTTAAACTAAACATTGCCATTAGTAGACTGGGGTCAGTCCCTCTTTTTCTTGAGATTTAGTGAGGGGAGTACACACACGCGCGAGCATCGCGCGAGACGCTAGAAACGAGGGCGGCAGCCCGGAATGCCCGAGAGGAAAAACGAACCATTCTCGTTCTTGGCGCCTCTCCCGCCTCGCTCCTTCAGTCACGTGCGTGGTCATATTCGTCTCTCGCCCTTTTCGCTCGACAGCTTAAGCAAAAAGAGAGACTGCTCGTAGTCTAACAATGAGTCAACAGAACAAAAGTAAACTTGAGAATACTGAGTAGCAGCAGTAAAGAGAGAAGTTATACATTCGTGGCCGTAGTCATGAATTAACATATTAGTAAAAACTCGCTTAGACTTAAACTAGCCATTTATGAGTTCCAAAAACCCTTTCTTTCAAAACGAGGCAAAAACTTTCCTGTGAAAATGAGCTTCGTTTGCATTAAAAACAATCATTAACATATCGAAGGCTCTGCAATTACGTCAGTTTTAAAATAGAAAGTTGAGGCCACCCGAAAATGGCTTATTATTTCGCCATTCAGTTAATGATGAATGCAGTCGGCAGGGTGTCGCTTTCTGAGAAAGCTAATAGTTTATATACTTGTTTTGGAGAAATAATTGTTTTGTATACATATGGGCGTAAGCGTCAAACGACTTTGTCCTTCTTAGGTGCGGTAAAACGAGCCACAAAAACGTGCAACTTGTTTTGCAAGATTTCTGCAAAACGAGTTCAGGCATCCCAGTCAAGTTTTGGAAAATCTGATAGGAAAAATGGGCAAAATGTTCAAGTTCAAAATATAGGAAAATATAGGAATTTTCTGCCAAAATATAGGCTCTTTATAGGAGCTAAAATAGATTTCATACAATGAATATAGAGCAAGAGACACACTTTTCTCTGAGCTTTTAATGTGTTTGGTCAAACTTGTCAAACAGTAACGTTTGTTACAGGGGAACAAGAATGTTACTTGATGGCAAAATTTAAAATAAAAATATTATTCAAAATAACTTTTGTTGCAAAGGTTGTGTTTTAAATAAACTCTCTGTAATTCTTCTCATTTCTATTCCCATGAGAAAACCTTGAAATTTGCGATTGCCTTTTCGTCCATCAATGATTTGTTGTCTCTTGATTGCTACTTAGGAAACAAATTTGTATGTGACATCAGTTACTCAATCAGAACCAACAGTGGTTAAGTTCGTTGAGTACCTGGCGTCACGTCTTTTGATATTGGCGAGCAGGTTTGGCAACAACCCATCAATGGCAGACGAAGAAGCACATACCATACGAATGTACATATACTATATTTTTCTTTAATTTTTCATCAGCTTCACCAAATAAGAAGAATTAGAAAAGAAATACTATTTTTACTGATAAAGAATTTTGATTTTGGTTATTCACAACAAAACTGTTTCACAGTGCAAAATGCAGATATCAGAATATGTCCCATTTGTAGGAAATATAAGAGGATTTCTTAAAATGTTTGCTCTTTACAGGATCCTATACAAATTATAGGATAAACAGGAAATATAGGAGGTCTGGGATGCCTGCGAGTTAAATAGCGAGGTTTTTACCGTCAGAGGTTTCAGCAAAAATGTCTTTACTACTCACTTGTGATGCACTCGACTGCCGTGTCGTCCCTTTTTCTGCATTTCCAGCGAACGTTTGAGATTGGGCCATCTCTTACGGCATATCCACCTTCTAACCCAGCTCTGGATGGTAACAGCAGCTGTCAGTTGGCAGACTTCAAGAATACGCTCTAACTCTTGCTTGACAACTTCACTATGATGGGTAAACAGGCGAGGGTAAGCAAAAATGATACTTTGCCCGGGTTGGGTAGCATTAAGCAATTACGAGTAATACTAGTCATCCTTCCCCTCCCTCTCTGTATGGGATATCGCAAGTTTATCTCAAGTCCGCCAGCAAGGAATGAGTTGGGAACTCTGAGCACGCATCACCGTGATATTCACCATCTCAGTACCGCACCCATCCTTTCTTAGTTAAGAACCGTACCCATTTCTAAAACAGGAAGAAGAGACGAAACTATACTAGCCTGTTCCAGGCTCCGACATAACCGGGTATCACTTTTGCGTCTCCTCAACTATCTGAGAGCCTGGAACAGGGTAGAACCATACTAGGTCGAATAATTGTAGGTCATTACCTGTAGAACACATAAGTCTTTCCCAGTGTCCATGATCCCATCATGGCGTCTCCCTTCGATCTGTCAACCTTTCTCATAACAGTCTCCAAGATAACTTTGCAGTGCTCGTACCCCGGCTCTTCCTTACTGCGCACTTTACGTGGTGATAAAAAGCTGTATTTCTTGGCGAATGCTTGAAACCGAGTGCGATGAGCAAGACCTGGAACACGACAGAGCAAATGAGTACAAAATCGTGGCGGATGTGGCTTTTTTGCTGTCTTTTTTCTTTTGGGAAAAATGAGATGTTTCGACTTCAATACAGTCGAACCTCTAAACAACGGCCAACTTGGGGACAGAAGAAAGTGGCCAATGTGGAGACGTGGCCGTTATCGGGAGGTAGGGTGGTAACTTGACAAAAGTTTAAGGGAGTACAACAAGTTTATTGTGCTAAGTTCATGCTTATTGTATCCCATAATGGTAATCCGACCATAAATAATGGCAGAAAAACGGTGCCAGCTTTCCTCACTTGCAGCCAATGGCTGAATTGCGGAGGAAACAGAGGTGAGATAGGACGTCAGCATGTAAAGGCGCACTCTTGCAGCCACTTCAGTCCATGTTTTGATCACACCTCGCCCACCCAGACCGATGACGGCACAAGTCAGATAGACCATGAAATCGGGGCCTACGTCCCCTAGTCTTTTCGAACAATGTCACGGGTTCTTTTACGTCCCCTTCCAACTAGAGTACAAGGATGAAAGAGACAAAGCCAACAGCTTAACATCACCGCCCAATGACGCGATCATCTGAACTGAGAAAGGGTTTCACAGCTAGCATGATCTCACCAGTTTTTTAAAGAACTTGGTTGATGGTCCGACCGGGGTTTGAACTCACGACCTCCCGCTCAGCAGACCGGCGCTCTTCCAACTGAGCTAACCGGGAGGCGGTTAGATAAAATACACAAAAAGCTTGTATTATTATTTGAATCAATTCGCTATAAGTATCGTAGACAATTTATGCTTACTGCAGTAGCATAAATGGAACACAATCAATGTAATATTGCGCCGCGATTGATCACCAACGCGCCATACGTATCAAATTTTATGACCATTCTTGATTTTTCACCAGTCGCTGAAAAAACTGGCCTTTATCGAGAGGTTATTTTGGCAAGTTGGGGACACGCTTTAGTGGCCGCTGCCGTTTTAGAGAGGTATAAATAAGAGTAAATGTATGGCCGTTGTACAGAGGTGGCCGTTAGTGAAGGTTCGAGTGTATAATTGCATGAGTAACTTACTTGATTGGAGTAGTTGAAGCGTTTCAAAAATCTGTAATACTCGAATCTGCTGACTTACGATTCCTCGGTCAAAGAAATGAGGTTCTTCCCGGGTGTTGATCTATTCCACAAAATGGAAAGAACACGCGATTGATGAAGTTTTACGGTACGAAAATCACAGCGTGAAAGATGGTAAGCAGATTTTACCTTGATGCATCTGACAAATGTCGGCTGAGCTTGAACCAGAGTTTTCAGTAAGACGTCGACTTTTTCCTGGAAATAAATGGAGAAATATTCAACGATCTACAACAAAATAAATGGCAACGGTTAACCAATGGGCAGACAAAGCTACCTGAAATCCCTGAGAGAAGGTGCGAAGAGGTACATCCATAGAGCCTCCACTGCAAGCAAATAAATGAAAAACTGCATCAATGACTGGCGTACAATTTCTTCGATAAGCTCGTCACTCCACATACTTCAGACAGCCGCAGTGAGTACAAGCTTTCGGCGAAAGGATTTCAGGGATCGTTTGGGTGGGCAATATAATTGACTATTATGGTTGCCTTGGATACCATCGACCAAACATAACTAACGAATGTACATAACATAACATAACATAAACTTTATTTATACTCGAATTTCAGAGTAACCCGAAAGGCTAATATCTTCGAGAAAAAAAAAGAGACAAAGCTATTTACATACATGAAAAATCTAAACGATCCCGAAAATCCATTCTCCCTGAATTATGGTATGGGAAATTACGGAGTGTGTGAAATCCGAAGACTCATCAATGTATTAAACAATTGAAGTAGACAATATATTTGGCTATTATGGTTGCCTTGAATACTATCGACCAAATATAATATATATTCAACCCGGCTTGCCGAGATCTCGACAAACCAGCCAACTCGCGCCTTTTCATACAAACGAAACGAGATATTGCTAAAAGGAAAGAGGCATTACTTGCGGTAGGGTGGGCCAGCCCGTCTGACGGGGCTGTCTCACCACATATAAACAGGCCCTTGTCAGCCCAAGTATTAGCGGGGTGTCCGTTAAGAGAGAGTGCGGCACGTTTTGCATAGGACTTTCAACTTGAGATTTAAACATTTTGACATCCTTTCTATTGCCGCCATAAAAGTATACACAATGAAGAATTGTCCCCCTTTCGGTTATAATCCTTACTTTTTGATTTATATTAGTTCTAAGGTTAAAATTAGTAAGTGTTTTTATTTATCGTACCTTTTCTGCCCTCTATTGCTTAAACATAACTAATCCATGCTCCATCAACATGATCCCGAAAATTCACTCTCCCTGAATTATGGTATGGGGAATTACGGAGTGTGTGAAATCCGAAGACTCATCAATGTATTAAACAACAGAAGTTAAGATGAATGCGATTTATTCAAGGGAAGTTAACCACTTTTCTTCGAAAAAATGGACAAGACGGGAACAGAAAAGTGGTAAAAGATCAGGAGCTGTGTTTGTCCGACTGTCCGACACCCTGCTCTACTCACCTCTGTGGTTCCTGAGCAGGGGTGGGTGATATTCTGTGTAGTACCCCCTTAGGAGCTGTTGTCTGTCCTTGCTGCGGTTTTAGATCATTGGTAAACAGATGTGTTGCAAACCCAAAATTGCAGTTCTAAAAAAAACAAAACAAGCAAACAATATATGAGTCAAAAACAACATTTCATGGTATCTTCTGAACTAACACAATGGAAGGGAAAAGTTTATTTCAAGACATTAGTTCCATTAAAAAAGTAAAAGCAATCCAAGGACACAATCAAGGAATGATAGGTAGATTTTTTTTTTTTTCAAGTGCCTTTTCCGTGCTACATAACCAACTTTTCAAAAACCGCTCCCACAGGAAACCAAGGATTCTTTTTACCTGCCGCGAGAAAACACAAATTATGTCGTCTGGAATAGTGTCGCGATTAATGTGCAGCAGAGAGCTGGCGTCATAAATAACCTAAAAAAAGAAGAATACATGCATAATTATTTGAATGATGAAGAGTGCTTTCTTTATCGCGCTTCCACGTTAAAAGGAAGAGCCAGTGGCAAACTTTGTTCCCGGGGTTCTCATCTACTCGTGGGGTACGAGAATCCTGGGAACGAGGTTGAGTCGGAGGCGTTTTCACTTACATTTCCACCATAGTGCGACACTCCAAAGCATGAACTCTCGGGATCAGGATCGAAGAAACTGCAATAAAGAAATGAAGGACTTTGGTATGAGAATACATATACATCGTCTATTTTACCGTCAACCTCGTTCCCAGGGTTCTCTCCCACCCGCCCTCCCTGGGAACGAGGTTGTTTTACGGTCAACCTGCATAAAGCGGTCACCCTTGAGTGGATAGCCCGCAGGTGACCGCTTACTACAGGTCAGTTTTACAGTAACTAAGGAAAATGATCTTCGAGACTAAAGTAAGTGACCGTTTAATATGCAGGTCCGCTCAAAACAGGTTTGACTGTAGCAATATGGGTCTGGGAATAAACACGCTTCAGTAAGTGCATATGTAAAAATCACAATCGTTTACTTAAACTACCAACAGAAACACGATCAGGACAAAAACGTAGATTCCACTCACCACTCACTGTCTTTGTGCTGTTCTTTCACCCTTTGTAAGAAATTCTGATAGCTTCCCCTACAACACATTTTATCAACGATAAATTGACAACTACCTCCAGCTATCAAACAACAACAAGCACCCAAAAGCTTATATTTTAGTTACCGGTATTTCAAGCTCAATTAACCACTACATAATGCTTTGACACAATTTCAATATTATTTCAAATATCAGTTGTATCCCGACTTTTTGCTGAACCTCTGGGAAAAAGAAATTATCGGGGGTTTAAGAAAAGTCAGCTTTGCTTCGAACATGGACCATAGCAGTTCAAAGACTGGGTCTTTTTACTATACAAGGTTCGAACTATTGGACCTTACGATAACCATTTCGAGGCACAGCGGTTCTATGTAGTCCAGTTTTACGCACCTAGCAAATAAACTTTCTTTGTCCAACATTGTGAGAACTCCAGCACGCTTAAAAACGAAAAAAGGAATTGAAAGATTAGAATTGCTTGGGGATGAAATGCGGTAATAACGATAATGTTTAAAAAGAATCTCGACTACTGGTGTTATGACTAAGTAGTCTGTCTCCTGCTCCTTCTTAGGCGCTTCTTGTTTTTTCGCACTTTGGTCCCGAACATAGGCGAGCGCGATATGCGAGTGACTGGTGACGAAACGCAAGGGACCATGGGAAAGAGAGAGAGGAGAAGCGAAGCCTTTTTTCCTTCCCGCCTTCCTTTGCGCGCAAACTTACATCAAGAGAGAGACGTCTTGGAACGAGGCACACTAAGAGGCTATTTGCGTAGCGCAGAAGATTTAAATACGCACAGCGCAACCCATGTCGCATGCCCATCAAGTACTCACACAGGAGACAGAATATTTGAACTGGTCTGGATAATGAATTGCATAAAAGTGTCCCCTTTCTACTGGTTTACATCATTAGTCCCCTATAAATAGACAACGACCCTTCATGCAAAAACCCTCTTGGCTACCTTCAGACTTACCTGGCAGGTGAGCAACTCAATACATGGAGCATTATCATAATAATCCACGCCAAGATCTGAAAGCACATCTTCATCTCTGCAGAATAAAGAGAAAAACAGTTAGCAGTCACGACGGAAACTTACGGACACCATCCAAACTACTTCGCAATTAAAGCAATTGTCAGTTGAGTGTCCTAAGCACATTTGGCGCCGATTTCGTTGGTCTTGCGTTCGCAACTTGAGAATGAGAAGGGAACTGGAGCGGAAATATGTCCCGCTAATGTTTCTGGGATCGCTACTGGGGACGCGACGGTCGGCTATTGGCCAATTTTTTTCCCGCCCTAGAAACAGTCCCAGAAGTCTTTGCGAATTTAACTCGGCCCAGTTCCCTCCTCGCCTTTTCTCAAGTAAGCGGTCAGCTGAGTTATTGCTTACCTAGTAAACTCATCTGTGCTTTTAAAAACGTGAGTGTTGTAAAAATGCTGAAGTGTTTCGGAACATAAGTTGACACAGATCTGCTCCAGCAAATTAACCTGTATCAAGACAACAGGAAACACGCGCATTACGGGGTAAACTAAACCGACAAACAAAAAGCAATCTATTTATCACTGAATATTGTTGTTAAAAATCTTTCCCTTTTTTCGACAAACATGCATAGTATTCAATAAACTGTTCCGAACAAGTGAAAATGGATTTTAAAACAAATTCCCAGCTATCATATTTAAATCGTAGGTGATTTTAAACTGGGCAAAAATATCCTGTCCTGATCTCAGATTTGTTCATTGTCGGATGGAAAGCTCACCATTCTTGTTTCTTTACCGAGCTAAAAACTACCAAATTTTTTCCCAAAAGGACGTTAACGACCTTTGCTGTTAAAAGCAGCATTTATGAATCTAGTATAAAGTACCCATATAATCAGACGCAACCAATGTTCCAGATAGGATTGATGGGTTATAAACACAAGCAGAAAATAAAGCCTTCGCAAAAAATTTCCCAAACGGTCGATGCCATTTCTAAAGCACTAATAGTCAATTTTCAAACTTTCTCTGCTCAAAAGGTCAAAAAGAAGTTCACTACCCAAAATCGAATCCGGTAATTTCTCTTTTTAATCTCCTTCAACAGCTAACTACCAAGCTAAACCGCCACAAAAAAGACGAATTTTGTTAATGAAGGATAATATTTGAATGGCTATCATACCCGCCTCATCTTTAATAGTGGCCCTAGCCTTTTGTTTAACTTAGTGCATAACATTAAAATTTGGATCACGTCGGATTGAGTTACCATCGACCGAGGAAATTTAACCTCCATGAATACTACACACTACAACGTTACAACGGCCGGCATACCTGACTGTTTTCAAAGCCAAACACATCTATTACGCCAATAAGACCAGACGCTCCTCTTGTGAACTGGAAGCTACCATCCAGCCCTGGAGAAGATGGAGTCGAAACTGACAGAAATAACACAAAAAAATAACCAATGGAGAACACAAAATGAATAGTCCTCTGCAGCCTTATAACGATCTCATTTCTTAAGGCTGAAAGATTCTTTTCCTTGGTTTTAGGGTGTGCATGCCTTTCAACCTGAATCTGATTAAGGGGAGTAAACAGGGCTCCACTCCCAGTTGTTCAAAACCTGAATAGCGCTACCCAACGGATACATCACTATCCAATGGACAATTAAGTATCAGGGAAAACAAATTGCACTGTAGGCTGGATAGATATTTATCCAGTAGATAGCGTTATCTACCTTTTAAACAACCGGAGCCTGCTCCGGTAACTCTGACTCGATTTTTAATAGGCTAATTGTAATAGGATCTTGGGTAAAAATAAATTGGATGGAAAACGACAGATTTGAATACAAACTATAAATTGGTCCTTATAGGGTAAAGGTTTGTAGAGAAAGCAATGTAGAGCCCAGTTGCTCGAAAGGTGTATAACGCTACTCAGTGGGCAGCGTGCAAAGAAAGTAGTGTCCGATAGCCCGGGGCTAGTGGATTTTGCTATTGGGTTAGGGAATTCCGTTTTTAACTTGCCCGATGGGCAAGTGATATTTTTTTAGGAATTCGAATAACAGAAGAACTGTAATCAATCCTGCTCATCAAATTTTTTACGGGCTGGTTGAAATGAATTTCGGGATAGTTCAACCTAGCTACAACTTGCCCGAATGGCAAGCTGTAAAACTGACTTTCTTTGCACCCTGGTGGGTAAATCTCAATCCAGTAGATACCACAATTGGTTTACATTATACTTAACAGCTGGATAGTCATTTATCCGTTGGATAGCACTATCGGCAACGTTTGAACAACCGGGAACAGATTGCTCAGAAAATTTGATAACTGTAAAAGTTCAATTCAAGGTAACAAATCGATTCGACAACAATTTCTCCATGGTCTGTACTCTTATCGACCATAGAAATGACGTCAAAATGTTCAAAACACAGGTGGAACCACTCGCCTGCGGCTCGTGGTTTCACTGCAAAGTTTTGAACATTTTGCGTCATTTCTACGGTCGATAATAGTACAGACTCAGAAAGTCGCGCGAGCGAGAAAGAGAAAAACAAATCGCACCATCATCACGCATTTCCATGGTCGGTTCTCTTCCCGAACATAGCTCTCGAACAATCAGCGCGCGAGAAATCGCTCAGTTATTGTAAAAATATTTTTTGATTACCTGTCCCAGGTGTCATAAGCAAACCATTGGTGGAATTTACAGGGCTTCTCCCAAGAGATCCGGTGCCGGAGCCTGGAGATGAAGCTCTTAGTGATTCATACGATCCATGGGGGGATGATAACATGCTAGTAGGTCTTTTGTAACTGTTGCCTCGACGCACAACAGCAGCGACAGTCCTACAGTAAAGTGCTTTGGCAAGAGCATCTCTGTTTGAATTTGCCTGTTGGTAAGAGGAAGATTGAGTATAAGCTTGTCGATCCAAAAAGCGTTAAACTTGAGACACCAGAATGTACAATTTGGCCTACACAGAAAGTAGCGGGTAGTTAAAACTACTGAAAGCAACATCGAGGAAAGGAAAAAAGTCAAAACAAGAATTTGAGGTCGCATCCGGGAATCGAGCTTGCTTAAAACCTCCCGCACAGAAAGCTGTGAACTAGCCGACTGTAATAATCCTTGCTGCTGGTAACAACCGGTTTCGCTACTGGTAGTATTCGCTACGCCCTAGTTCGCAACAATTTCGCTACATATTACTTTCTTTTTAAACCGCTGAAAATATTCCCTTGATTGCTCTCGAAAAAAAAACTTTTAATATATTTCTAGTTCTTTCAAGCTTGCCGCTCCGAGGGTACAAGTTTTGGACTTTGCCAATAGCCAGCGAGACAAATATGTTAATGTAGGTAGCGAATTTGACAAGTAGCGAAACCGTTGTAAATCCATGCTCCTCAATTAATAAAGGGCTGTGACACGGTTGTCTAGTTCACTTTGTTAACATTGCCAATTACACTTCCTTAAGCGTTAAGGAATTTAGCATTAACAAAGAAACAACTTGCAAACGACAAAACCACAGCTTCTTGTCCAACAAATATACTTGCCAAGCGTTATATCAAACGTTACAAACAACAAAAATGAACTTTTAAAACTGTTAGGCTAACAAGTTTTCAAAAACCCACAATTTTGATCCGATTTAATCTTCTTCAAGTTTGTCGATCCGTGTCGAATTTTATATTTGCAGTGTTATTTATACCGTTTTCTCACTGTTTTGAGTGATTATTCATGTTTCAGTAAATGTTCAAGTTTCAAAGGAAAACTGAGAGGGAAGAACTTAAGCTACAGAGTACATACTACATATCCATCGCGCTCAACTGAATTAGAAATAACTACAGTGAGCTGTAATTTGCATGGTATTTGTACAAGGGGTTGCCCAGAGAATGAAAGCTAACCAGTCCTAACCAGTGCTCAACTGTAAACCTTGTACATTAGTATCAGGCTCTTAATTTCTACAGCCTAATCGCAGCTCTATTTTCTCACCACTCTTCCCACTAGCTAAACGGGTTTCCCCTGTGCTTAGAGGACGAGGAATACCGCATTGTGTAAACGTCGTGTCCGACGAGGTTATAGACCAATTGAGATCTAATGCTAACCGACACAAGTCGAAAAAAAGATTTCCACTTTCACTTCGGAGTATGTTTGAGTGCTTCAAATACAAAATGAGAAGGCTATGAATTTTGCAAGAAGTACTGTGCGCCTTCACAAATAAACCCAGGACTTCTATCTTAATCTATCAAGGGCTCTTTTATGGAGTGGGCTTGGCTCATTATGGGAGGGAAAATAGCCTTTCAAAATCCCATGAGCTTATAGTTGGAGGAATAGTTATGTCGCCAATCTTTCGATGTTTAAAATTATCCTAATTGAACAAAACCTACAAATTACTGAAAACATAATCTATCTGAACAAGCCAACTTTTACACAGTAGCAATAAACTTTATTGGAAAATGGAACTGCGTAATCTATTTGGACATGTCAACTTCAAATACAGTAGCAATAAACTTTACTCAGTTGAAAAATGGAAATGTATTACTGCGCTTTTCACAAACATGCGAACTCTAAAGTTCAAAAGCCGCCTTCACAATTGCGTTTTTCGCTGCCGTCAATCATAATTACGATCACAAGCAACGAAACTTGAAACACAGAAACACCCAAATCGGGTCGAAATCCACCAATGGAAAATCCCATACATGACCTTTTCAACCCGTTGAAGTAAAGTTTTGTTTTCTAAGAGGTCCGCTTAGATGATTGACGGCAGCGAAATACGTAATCGTCAGTTGGCTTTTGAATTTCATAATTCGCGTGTTTTTGAAAAGCGCAGTCACGGTAACGTCAGTTCGAAGCCTGAAATATCTTTGCTCATAGCGTACGTTTTACTGTAGTTCACGTTCATGGAAAATCTGATTCATCCGGCAAAAGGTCCAGCCTTGTATCGTATAGTTCCGATATGGCATAAAAAACGCACTCCAAGAATACGTCTACGGTTACGTCTCCTCGTGGAGACGATACTACCATTTCTACGTGCTCATCCGAGCCATGGGAAGGACTAGCCATTTGCGGCAGAGCAAAAGCAGTGGTGATCTTTTTACCAGAGAAGATAGGCCTGAGATATATATTTTCATGTTTAGACAATAAAACTAGAAGACTAAATAAAGTTGTCAGCGTTTGCTGTTGTTTTTTTTCTTTTTTTTTTCCATACATCATTAGTTACATGTCTATAAAATGAAATTCATATATTACTCACGAGGCGAGTCAGTTAAAAACCTCAACTATGACTTCATTCATATAGATGAATTGGCCATTCCGTGTCAGTCAAATGCAAAAAGGGAAAAAAGCTTTCCCACATTTTTCCTCACTGACATTTCAATTTTCGAGGGATCTCTTTTCATTTAATTTGCTTTGCCAAGTGCATCACTTGGCATTTAAGTAAGAAATAACCTTCCGTGAGAAAAATTGATAATATTCACACTTTTTTACACGAATCCAAAATGAAAACCTATATTCACAGCGATACGTGACAAATGTAGCTCTGAAATCATTCGTTTAATCAACTAACAGGTGTTTGGTTGTCACTCTCCCAATTAACTGTGTGATATACTAATGACTCCAGCGCTATTTTCATCGTTGAAGATTTTGACTATTTTACCGACAAAACAAAAAACTGAAATTAACGAAACAAAAAACAAACAATTTTTACAAAACTATTTAGTAACAGTGGTAAAAATTACAGCACATCAATCAAGTCTCCCAATGTTACGCTCAAGGGAGTCGTGGAGGGATTAAGCTATCTTTTCACTCCCTTAATCTGCGGATACGGTAATTCACGAAGAAACCTGGCAGGTGTTTTGAAGGACTAATATATTGCACCAAATTATGGTCTCTGATATCATTTTTCAAACAAATTTTTTTTAAATATTTGCCAGGAAAGCAGTTGGTTTGATACAGAATAAATACAGCCCCCTGGGGAGTGATTTCGCTCGTGGTAATATCCACTTTTCTTTCCCAAAGATTCGTGCGATCACTCTTGACATTGGTGGTGTTTTTCCGTGTTTTTTGGATGCGTTACATCAGACCACAATTATTTGTAAAATCCATTAGGCCGTGCCATTATCTACACTAAGTAGTGTCCTCAAATACTAATTACAAACAGCAGAACAATAAAGTGGAAAAAAGGAAAAAAGTAATATACACTCATTAACGGTCATTGTCAAAAGAAACGTTAAGAACAACACACTCCATTCGTACGTACTTGCATTGCAGAGAAATGGAGGTGGCAAATTTTACCGAACACGAAAATCAGAAAACATTCAGAGAATTGTTTTGCTCCCCGGAAATCACTGCAAAATTTCCGAACGAGCTAATTTTTGTTTCGGCGCTTAACATTTTCCTATCCATCACCGCTTTTCTGGGAAACACTCTGATCCTTGTTGCCCTAAAAAAGGAAACTTCACTTCATCCTTCATCCAAAGTCCTGTTTCGTAGCTTAGCGACAACCGATCTGTGCGTTGGCATCTCTGCAGAGCCCTTGGCCGTCGTTTACTTGATGTCCGTGGTGAACGAAAGATGGGATGTTTGCTACTACGCTCATTTGATGAATTTTGCCACAGCCGCTATTTTGTGCACAGCGTCTTTTTTCACACTGACTGCAATAAGTGTGGACAGACTTCTCGCCCTGTTATTGGGGCTTAGATACAGACATATTGTAACATCAAGGAGAGCATATATAGCCGTAACCGCAATGTGGGTTTTCTCCATCTTCTCCACATCAAGCAACTTTTGGAATCTTCGAGTACTTTCCTGGTTTTTCTACATTGGTTTATCTGTATGTTTAGCCATCACAATTTTCTCCTACACGAAGATTTTCTACACCTTACGTCACCGCCAACATGTTATTCAAAATAACGCTTTCCAAGGACAACCGACGCGTCCAACTCCACTAAACATTGTTCGATACAGAAAGGCAGTGTCTAGCGCATTGTGGTTACAAGTAGCATTAGTTGTTTGTTATTTGCCGTACAGTATAGTAGTAGCATTGATACTTCAAAAAGGGTTCTCTAGTTCACTCTACCTCTCCTGGCAGGTTACAGGTATTCCAGTTTACTTAAACTCTTCCTTGAACCCGATACTTTATTGCTGGAAGATTAGGGAAGTAAGGCAAGCAGCGATTGATACCCTCAAAAGGCTGTTCTGTAAATCGCACTAGGTTACTGTAACTCTCAGGTGTACATACGCTTAGTTTTATTCACACCCTCTTTTTAGAAACCGATGTTAATAAAACATAATAAAAACGCATGTCAGATTTACCAACGCGACAAAAAAATGTTTCAAAATCGCGATTTAACTAGTAATAGCAGAAGAAGAATGAGCTTGTAAGATTTTAAAACTTTCAAATAAAGAGTTAACATCTTGTAAATTCATCCACTAATTTGAACGGGGGTCGAAGAGTTTGGGAACACAACGAAAATTTAACCATTTACAAAACAAACAACTTTTTCCCTTTCCGGTCGATTTCATTCATCACTTCCAGGTTAGCTATCGATGGAAATTTAAATCTTATGTACGTTTCATGGTAAGTTTGTGTCATAGGACAAGTGACGAGAAAATATAATAGCGAATGAAAGACAGAACTGATAAGAATAAGGAAAGCGACGTAGTTTCCTTCCTTTTGACTGATAACTAAGTGATGTCACTTCTCTAACAGTTGTAACTTCCTTCCCATTATGAGAGAGATTTTGTACCACGTAACCAAGTTTTCCCGATACTTGTCGTGTGACGTCTTCTGTTAGCCGTACAGCTGATTCTAAATCTCTCTAATTATGCGCCAAAATATATATTTATTTCGCTGCAGCGAAACATTGTATTATCTGAGAGTTAAGCAAATCAGAAATTGACGAAAGATAGGCGTCACACGCAACATATAAATCCGACCAGCAGTCTAACCTGATAATGAATTACAACGAAACGTGACAAATATAACTCTGAAACTATACTTAACATTTGTATAAACCTATAGGAGTGTGAATGACTGCAATCATTCAGGGTATAACTTTACAGCTAATAATACAAAAATGGACAAAAAACTAACACGCAGTTTATTTACACAAATTCAATCAACAGGATATATCTTCACAGCAATACGTGACCAACATACCTCAGAAATTAAACTTATTAAAATTTAAATTAAAATGACAGGTTTTCAGTTTACTGATATTGGTTTTCGGTTTTTTCCCCAAAAAAGTGTAGGGCACGATGTAAACTACCGATTCGTGTCACTAACTGGCGATGGTTTCAACTTATATTTCAACCACAAGCATTTCTATTCATGAAAGCGATTTTTTTCTATGCGTACCATTGGCCTCCGTCGCAGGTGTCGAAAGGAAGGGGAGGTAGGGGAGGAAAAGGGGAGAGGGGATTGGGTAGGCTTAGATAGATTGCTACCATTTTTTTTTTCCAATAATTCATCGTTACGAGCAAAAGTTTCGTCCATTTTCCAAAAAAAGCACTGCTAGCATAATTTGCACTTTTAACTGAGTAGTTTCGCCGCACAAAATTGTCCGCATTTATTGACCATACAACTAATTTTTTTGGCCCGTGATCAGTGTTTCAGGCAAGTTTACCCTTAGCAACAAAATCATTTTTTTTGTCTGCTTATTGATACATTAATGGCACCGGGTTACCACTGGAAGTGAGCAAGGACTCTTTCCACAGGACTTACACATGCGCATAACTTGCTCGGGTTACCCAAGATGGCGCCTGCAACAGCGAGTGCATACAGTGATAAAAGTCAAGGCATTTATAATGAATCATGCACTAGTAAAGTTACTAGTTGCAAATAGGGTAAATCTGTTTGCCATTTACTTGTGTGTTGCATACATGTAGTTATTTAGATGTCCGTACCAAGTAAAAGCATAAGTTCTGCATTTTTTGCTAAAATCAGTATAATTTACAAAAACAAGCATAACAGACCTCTTTAGCTTGTAAGTTTTGTTTTTCCAATACAAGTCATGTGATAATACTCTAGAGAACTGTTCCTTTCAAATTTCATCTAATTCACGTGCATATCTACGCATAATTTATGAAAAGACAAAGGGCCAAGTTCCACTGGGACCTCTTTTGGGAAAACAAAACATACAAGCTTAAGAGGTCTATTATGCTACTTTTGCGAGCGCAGTCTATCAAAGCATAGGGTTGGGTAGAGAAGGAAAGTGACCCTCTCCCTTTTTCTTTTAGCGCTTTTCTCCCCCACCCCTCCCCCTCATCTTTCTTGCGCCTACCACGCTGGCTAGTACACCATCTGCAAAAACTGTAACAAAAGAAATATTGTACTTACGGTTGCTGCATCACACAGTGACCTAAGAATCTGCCCTCTAACATTCTTGGTCTTTGTTGACAGGCCTCTGAACAATGAAACGCCAGATACACCAAGCAAAGCAGCAACTGCTTTAATCTCTATAATCAAAAGAAACCAACGAATAGTTACAAATATAAAAACGGGCGGATTACCAACAGCTAGGTTAACGGGTCTTAACACATGTCTTGGCTACCCTTGAGAGAGAGCTCTTCACGCGAGTCGCGAGAGAACGCACAAGCGGACGTCAAAGCTTCGCGCTCTCGCGTATCCTTTCGTGTAGCCTGCGTAGCTGGCGGTTTCTTGATGTGTTTTTGAGTTGTGGTTCGTCAGGGTTCGTATTAAAAGCGGTTCGTAAAGTAAGTCGCGCGAAAGCTGAACCGAGGGCGAAAAAGAACCCCCTGAACAATTGACCTCGCGCGTGTTCTCGTTTGACCCCGCGCGCGGGTGTCTCTCGAGAAAAACACACCAAAAAACCGCCAGCTACGCAAGCTACCTTTCCTGTGCCGCTCGCGCATGACTTTTCACGACATCCATCAAATGGAGAGCTTGCCTTTCGGCTAATTCTTGCCTCACGTGAAACACTGAGAAGAAATTTTGGAATATATTACAAGAAAGAAAATTGATATATTTAATAGCAAAATGAAAAAGTAAAAGTTTTAGCCATACATAGAATAAAAAAAGTTATACACTGTAAATGTCAAACTGAAAAAGTGATTGCTCAACAAAGAGAACAATTAAAAGCCTGAAGACATTCCCTTGATATGGTGGTCATTTAATTTGGAAGGTGATCGCTAACTTAGATCGCTAAATGATCGCTAACTTAGAAACACTGTTCATACTATCTAACGGTTTGTTTTGCTCATCATTGCCATAACAACCTACCATTGTTCCCTTTGACGTCCAGCTCTAAGCCTTCACCATCAACAAACTCCACATTCCCAAGTAGTAAGATTGCCACTAATATTCTCAACACATCAAGAAATGGAATTCCTAAAGTTGCTAAAGCAGCCTGAGGAAAAACAGTACCTTCGCAGTAATGTGTGTTATTTTTAAACAATATAATTCTTTCAATTTTTTTCAATCTCTTATTACACACGTTTTCACTGTTAAAGTGGAACCCTGTTGATACAGATTGAAATCCCTAGAATGAGAAAAAAACGCGACCGGTTTGCCGGGTTCGTTTGGCGGAATTTGGATTTTTTCCGCTGTTTTGCATTTACAATTAGGACAGTGCTTTTTCAATACGGCAGTGATTTTTACGATTTTCAGAAAGTCGCGTTCAAAAAAAATGGTAACATTTTTGTTTGTTTGTTCTTGCTTTTTAATAGAGTACAAGCAATCGAATTAAACACTTTTTTTAACAATACTATGTCTATGGAAAACAGAATTACGGTAATCCTTATTATTCAATAACAGCTAGTGGTCCTTGAGATAGACGTGCATTACAAAGACACCGGTTCAAGAGCGACGGCGTCGGAGTCGGAGTCGTTATCAGAGGCGTAGAGCTTATGATCTAGTGAAAACATCGTCCCGATTCCACTTACGACTCCGTCGCTTACGTTCCGCTTATGATCTAGTGAAAACCAGATTGTCGGAGTCGGAAGCAGAAGCAGAAGCAGAAGCAGAAGAACCAAACCAATCACAAAGCGTGGGAACGTGCATTGTGATTGGTTTATCCTTCCGCTTCTGCTTCCGACTCCGACAATCTGGTTTTCACTAGATCATAAGTGGAACGTAAGCGATGGAGTCGGAAGCGGAGTCGGAAGAAATGGAAACGTTCTGATTCTTTCTGACTCCGATTCCGTCGCGCATATGACTCCGCTTACGACTCCGATTTTTGATTTTCACTAGGTCATAAGCGCTCTTACGACTCCGACTCCCCTCGCTAGTGAAAACCAGCCTAATTCTTTTTTTCGCTAAACGCAGGAAAAACCAAAAAAATTACAACCCACAAAAATTTAGTGCAACACGGCAACAAAGGTAAATAAAGGAACAATAGGCAACTGAACACACAACTGAAATGACCAATAGATAAAAACGAAAATAAGGAAAACACAGAGAGTTGCCTTATTTATTCAGCATCAAGTAAACTTACTCTCCATCTCTCAAATCTAGCTCTGTATTCTTCCTCATCTTCAGAATAAGGAATGAGACTTTTATTCAAGTATGACAAAGAGTGAACGCTGTATCCTTGAAGATGTAGTTTGACTACAAAAGGAGAACACACCACAAGAAATAAACAAACTCTATCGCTATTGACCTGTATTTTCCTTCATGAGAGAGATTATTACCACATACTCCCACAAAATATTATTCAAAGTGAACACAGAGTTTTGGAGAGAGATGTTAAGGATTTCATTCAAATCTCGGACGTAGTTCATGTTATTCTTGTTGTCGGCCTTTGCAGCTGGGCTCAATTACAAGCCGCTGTTCGGGAAATAAGCCCGCGCTCGACAAAAACAGCCAGAGTCTCGAGCAGCCAGAGGCTACCCTGGGTACCAGAGGTTGTTTTTCCTCGCGCGTGGCAGGATGCGTCGGTGTGAGGACGCGAGCGGCAAAGCTTTTCGCGCGGTTCACTACAAAGACTTAAAGGGAACCTCCACTTCAACAAAAAGATAACTTTAAATCACAGGGAATAACTGTTAGAGTCAAGTCAATCTAAAATATTTTTAAAGAAAGCGTTTGTATCCGAAAGAAATAACTTTTAGATTCGCCTATTTTTGTTTTCAGATTTTGCGGGCGTCGCCTTCTTGAATAATTGTGACGTGTAATGGTTGCCCTATTGTTATTAAACAAAAGCTCTTTGTGTCAGAACAATAGAGCAACCGTAACACGTCACAATTTTTCAAGATGGCGGCGCCCGCGAAATTTGAAAGTGAAAATAAGCGATTTTAAAATTCACTTTTCCTGATATAAACACTTTTTTAAAGACAAATTTCGAACAAATTTGTTTATCAACATAATTTTATTCGATTTAAACTTATTCTGTAGTAAGAGTGGAGGTTCCCTTTAAACGAAACTGGAAACCGTGCATAAAAAGTCTCTGGCATCTAGGCTACGAAAAGGCTTTCCTGGGCCATAAAAACTCTTCATATCCGATTTCTTATTCTTCTACATTTTAATTTTGTTCATTAAGACTGACTCCTCGATCTTCCGCTTTAAGGAGTCACTAATCTTTTCAGAATTCAATTCTTTACTCAAAGATTGTTGTATCAACATGTAAAAGCTAACACAATATTGTTCCAACTTTCTGGCGACTCCATAACGAAATGGAATAGGAAACAAATAGATGCGAGTTCAACAAGAGTTAAACAACGCTAAATTTGCATAACTAAAGCAGAGCCAGACAGACTTTTTTTCTAAACAAAACGGATTGAAACTGTTCTTTTTGAACTCGCAAGTGTTTACCGGTATTTCCAATTCCTTGAAAATGGCGTCATGAAGTCGCCCAAACGTCAGAACATTACCTCGTTGGTTTTTACTTGTTTATATTTCTCCAAATTATTATAAATATAGATTTATTTTGGTTTTTAAATAGTGAAAGAATCAAGTCCAAAGATAATTGTTCCAAGGTACTCTTGACCGGTTTTCACTGTAATACAGTATGAATTTTTATTATAAACTTAATGATGGCTGTACCTCTTTCCTCTTGAGTTATACCATAAAGTAACTGATAAAATATGTGAAAATTTCTCTCTTGAGCAGCTGGACAGGCAACTCTTGTCTGCAAAAAATAATAATGTCAACTTTTAAGGCAGAGCTATGATTTTCATTGTCGCTGTTTTGAATACTAATGTTTTTGCATGCGCAGGTGAGGGCAAAAAATCTTATAATTTCAAAAACAAGTTTACTGCATAACACATGGAGGACAGGCATGTAGTAACAAGCATGCTCAACATCAGATCTAAAGTTCAGTAGTTCGTGGCCTGATTTCTACCATACTTCAGGGATACTTACAAGTGTCATATTTTCTTTAATCAAGATACCTTACATTGCATTAACTCTCTAACTCCACCCAGGGGAGTATAAAAGCGGATAAGTTCAGGACTGAACATTTATCTAATGCATCAACCGCACGAGAAAAACACAAAGTAAACTTCAGAGAACACACCACATTCCGAGAAATGCCTTCCTTTAATCATGATTATTTAGGAGCATACCAGACGAGTGCAGTGTGTATGCTACAGGTCAAAATTAAATTCAGGTTAAAATTTTTTAACCTAGAATGATTCTCCATTTCCTTTGTCTTCATAATGCTTGGGAGGGGGCAACCATACGGTAGACTAGAATCTCCTCCAGAAACAGGTAGTAGTACTCTCTAAAGGTACGATAAAACGGGCAACAAAAACGGCAACTTGTTTTGCAACATTGCTGCAAAACAAGTTGAAAAGTGATATTGCGTAGTCACGTTTAAACCTGTCTTGCAACAAATCAGGTTGTTACACGTTGCGAAAATTAGTCGCAGAAAGTAGAGAGTAGTTCTACTTTTGCAACAAAATCTGTACATGTTGCGCGTTTTACCGACCCAAGGCAAACTTGTTCTGCAACAAGTGACGTAACTCCCGTGTATGGCGTGTCTCCCGCGAAATTTTATCCAATCAAAAGTCAGTATTCACGCAACTTGCAACAACCTGATTTGTTGCGAGACAGGTTTGATTCGTGGGTGGTAAAACGCGCAACATCGCTTTTCCACTCGCTTGGCAGCAATGTTGCAAAACAAGTTGCACGTTTTTGTTGCCCGGTAGGTTTAAATATACTTTGGTGCTCTGTGACCCAAAGTACTTCCACCTACATCAGCTATGTGCAAGTATGAGTGTTTGTCATTTATATATCAATGGTAATCAAACTGAATATTATAATCAAGGAGTGAACTTTCCATCTGCAGACTGTATAAAATTTACACTCGCAAAAGGAAGATAACTTACAGAATCGAGAAGGTAGCACTGAATTTTCGTCCTGGATATCACGCCATCAGATAGGTGAAGCTCCAAAAAATTGCCCTAATAAGACAAAAATTTATTACAACCAATAATTGTGAGCCTAAAATGCATCACTAATTGCATAGTTCCAGAAAATACTCATATCCCCTGATTTGGAAATTCCAGGGGCATGGGGGTCTAAAGCAAAAGTACCCTTTATAGGGAGTATGGATATTTTCTGGAACCACACATCAGAGGATAACACTATCGTCAAACCTCCTGCAAGGGACCAACCAAAAGGCAAAGATTTAGAGGTCGATTATAGGAAGTGATCACTTATGACAATTAAACCAGAGGCGGCCTCTTCAGAGAAGTGGTCTGGACACATCTACTTGTTGGCAGATTTTATTGCATGCAATAATTTTTAAGTTACATTTAGATCTTGTTCCACTGAGAGATCTTTGTATAAACAGAGTGGCGTAGTGCATACAGTGAACAAAGAGACCACACCACGCTTACAAAAGGTTAAAAACAATTAATGAAAAACTGTAAAACCGACGTCAGGCCAGTAGTGGTCAAAGTCACTTAAGAGTGGTCGTCATTTACAGGGCTTGGGCAGGGAAAATTTTGGTGTTTTGGATAGGAATTAAACTTAGGCCCTATTCACAAGGTAATGTTCTTCAATGTGCAAACAAACTTGTTTGGAAAGAATGTACACCACCAGCTCAGCTGAATTTAAACTTCCCTACATTGTATTTCAACAGGGTCACGTATTCAATTAATTGTTCCAATTATTGGGAGTTTAATGAATACTGCAAATTTTCCTTTCTTTTATCTTGACAGCTTTTGCACAGTACTGTCACAGCAAAAATAAGTTATTTACATTGTTAAGAAACAACTCTGACTGCTGAAAAGTATTAAACATTTGTTTAGCAAAAGAGACTTACTATTCTAGAAGAGTCAGAGTTTGTTGCTGTTTTTGCATTTCCTAAAGACTGGATCACTGTGATGGAGGCCAAAAAATGCTGTGAAAAGAAAAACCAGTTAACTGTACATTATTTGATAACATGATTGATTTCAGGTACCTGTCAAATTCAAAGACGAAAGTTAATGCTCATCTGAAAATTAAAACTTAATGTCTCAAAAACTAGCAAACGAAAGGCATTCTTCATCAAAGTTAACCCATTTGAAAATTATTTAATACATTTGGGATATGTAAGCCACAAATTGAAAAAGTTAAAGTAAATAAAGCCTGGAAAGGATAATAAAATAAACACAACTGACAGCTACACAGGAGATGAGAACAATACTTAAAAGCAGATTTTTGTTCTCTAATTACTGAAAAGGAGGGTCGGGTCCTAATTAGTTTAGTAAAAGTCATTCTTACTGTGCACAATACTCATTATGTCACATATTATCATTCAAGTAGGTGCACTCTTATCTGGGAGAAGTCTAAACATATGCATAACATGACCAAAGCTTCAGTAAAGTACAAGCTTCAATGCACTTTTTCTGACACAAGTTGGTCATGCATTATGAAAACAAAAAGTCTAAAATTAAAATTTTGGACAAATTTACATAAAATCTCTGTCTTGGTCTCAAGTGTTTGGGAGCAAGGGTGGTGCAGTGGTGAGAGCACTCGCCTCCCACCAATGGGGCCCGGGTTCAAATCCCGGCGTCGACGCCATATGTGGGTTGAGTTTGTTGTTGGTTCTCTCCCTTGCTCAGAGAGGTTTTTCTCCGGGTACTCCGGTTTTCCCGTCTCCTCAAAAACCAACATTTCCAAATTCCAATTCGACCAGGAATCAGGTAGACGAAGAACCACTATGTGGATGTGTTATCTGCAAATTTTTATTTATTTATTTATTTATTTTATTTTTAAGTGCAGTCCAGGGATGTACATGTAGCTATAAGGAAAGGCTCAGCATGCTTTTTAACAACTCAAGTTGGCATTTTTACACAACTTCACCATCAAAATTACCTTTATTTCATTTTCCAGAGCAATTTGAGCTGGCGTGTTAACATCTCTTTTAGGCCCCGGTTGTTCAAACATTGGATAGCACTATCCACCAGATAAAGCACTATCCAGCAGCTTAGTAAAGTGAGACCAATTATTGAGCTACCTGATGCATAGATATTTATTCAGTCCGGATGGTGTTATCATCCTTTGGCCAGCTGGTGAAATTAGCCCACTGCAGCCAATATTATTCTTAGCTACATCCCTGGTAGTCTGAAAAATGTACACAAACCTTGCAGATATCAGACTCCAGACCTCCTCCAGCTTGTTCCATCAGATGTTGAACAAGAGCCTGTGATGTGAATGTTTTTCCACTCCCTCCATTGCCACTGAAAAATACATTTAAGCAAGACAAATTAAAGGTAAATATAGGCCAACCTTAGAGAAGAACTCCAAAAATGCACTTTAAAGCATGAAGCACTGCTTTTTAAAACAATGATTTATTAGGGAGATTTAGCAATGACCGTGGCAACAGCAACAAGAATGTTGCATGTGCAGCACACTTTTTTGTACATTTCTTTACCATCCCTGCATGACTGTGATGTAAAAATGCCTAATTTCACATTTTATTTTATTGGAGGATGTGAACAAGTGATGACAAATTGTTCTTTCTCTTTTTAAACTTGAGTGCGGTTCCCAAGAAATCAACTCCACGGGAATGAATTTGCCTACATTTGACATTTTCAACAGATTGGAATAACCACAACAAAGTTTTAAAAAATGCAAAATTCATTTTAAAAGTGATGTTTTCACTGCTGTGGCCATCATCAATACTTCAGCTCTCTATCAACTGAAAGAAAACCTGGCAGGAGAAGAGGTGCAAATTTGCTGTTTGAGTTGATTTCATCACTTGGTTTATCTTATCTTAGAATACATGGTGGAAGTTCTATTGAAAATACAGTCGACGTCTCTCTCTAAAACAGACACCTTTAGGACCAGTACTAAGTGTCCGTCTAAGGGCAATGTCCATGTTATCGCAATCAAATCAAACGACAGGAGTAAAAAGGGCAGGGACCAACTCTAGGTGTCTGTTAAGAGAGAGTCAACTGTAGACTTCTCTACCTAAAGCTGCCCCAATGAAACCCCAAGTGGCTAATAAGTCATGAAATGTTAACCCATTCACCCCTTAACCACCCATAACCACCCAAAAAGATCAAGGTGCCTTGCATCACTAAGTGACGACATCAGTTTCAACAGTCAAGGACAACTTTGTCAACAAACATGTTCAGAGAAAAGAGATCTTTCAAACCACACCAAAATGAGCACAATTCAGACAAGGCAGACAGAGAAAAATACAAACTGAAGAAGCCCTGTTAGGATAAAATTCCGACAAGAGACATGGCCTTGAAACAGCGACATAAGACTAGATGAAAAGGCAACAAACAACATAACGATGGGTTAAATACCGACAGGGGCATGGCTTACTCCTCAAAATACAAGAGGACCATATTTCCATATTTGAAATTCAGACTACAGACATATGTACCCCCCCTGAACCAAGTAAAGTTGACCCACCATCCACCTGCACTTCCTTCCATCTAACCCTATGATCCCAAAAGCTTTCCCAAAAACTCTTTCCCCTAAAACAAAAATTAGTCAATGCCCAGCAGTAAGTCACTGTGTGTTGTTACACTTTTAAACCCACATTTTGCTTTCTGCACAGCCCTGACCTTTAGTGTATTAACAGCTAGAGTGTTTTTTGGCAAAATTTCCAGAAGGAAAGCTTTGCTTATCCTATTTAAAAAAATCTTAGCTAAGGAAGAAAGCATGCATACCTTAGCACAATAACCTGAGGAGAACCTGAGATTGCCAACTTCCTTGTTACTCTTTGAACCACTTCCTGAAGTTTCTGACTGTGTTGAAAGCTAGATTTGGATTGCACTTGGTCAAATGAATTCACAGCAATCAAGACTGGACCCAGACTAGTCTAAGAATTAAAAAACAAAAAGGTATACAAAACTAAACCAACAGTCAAAGCCTTCAAAACTACGGTCGAACCTCCCATAAATGACCACCCAAAATGCAAAGACTTAGTTGACGCTAACAAGAGGTGGTTGTTTACGAGAATTGAACCACAAGGGATCTCTTCTGAGAAGGGGTCCCAACACGTCTACTTGACGGTAGATAATTTAATGCATGCATTCTCTAAGTTAGGGTATGTGTACTTTCATACTGTCATCAAAAATTCTTTATAAAACCAAAGTAGCACTGACAGTACATAGAGTGAACGTAGAGATCAGACCATGTCTGAAGTGGTCGCTGACAAGAGGTTAAAAAAATGGAAAATCATTAAACCATCAGCCCCAAGAAGTGGTCACAGTCGCTTATAGTAGATGGTCATTTAGTAGAGGTTCAAATTTAGGGCTTTGACAGGGAAATTTTGGTGTGTTGGATAAGGTGATCGCTTTCGGGAGGTGGTCACTCATTAGGTGGTGGTCACACATGGAGGTTCAACTTTATAAAAAAACAAAGTAAAGTCATCCCACACTCATGCTACATACATTGGTAGAGCCTGTCACCTGCCTCTATAAGCTACAACTGGGGTAACTTACAAGTGAAATTTCACACTACATAATACAAGGAAGAGCATGCACTGTCAGTCAGATGGCTAGCTTGTACATACATAGTTCTCTCCTACTGCACTCCTTTGTTGCAATGCTCTAGTAACTGCATCTTCTGTAACTGGTCCACTGAGATGAACTAAGTCCCCGGTCGGAAGATCAGTTACGTTTTCATCCACAGAATTTGATGGTATACCTCTAGTTTTGACTACATGTAGGAGGACATAAATAAAACATTTTCAGCTTTGACATTATTGTAAATATTATTTTATCCTTGTTTAAATTGAAATACTAATTTTCTTTGTTTCAAAGTAATATTGCAGGGCTGTCATTTATTTTTAGAGCAGCTGTAGCAAATAAAGATTCACCTGTAACATCTCCCAAAAACTTTATAGTGTCAGATCACCCATAAAATCAAGTTAGCTCAGCTGTAACAGGTGTTACGGGTTACGGCCCTTAATGGCAGCTCTGTATAATAATTGTACTATTATATCATACCCTTAACAAGGAAAAATATATATATTAATTAATTAATTAGACAACGAATAAAATTCACACTCTTCAGTGCCAGATCCAGGTCTTGAGATAAGGAGGGGGGGTCATCCAGACCCTTAGATAAGGGGGGCACCCAGTCTCCCAAAAATATTTCCTCCCTTTGGTCCAGCGGGGAGGAGGCAGGCCCCCCGGGCCCCTCCCCTGGATCCGCCACTGTCTTTGTCATGTCAACATCTTCAATGTCCATCACATGACCATTCTGGCTTGCACTGTACATAGGTGGTGAATCTGCGGCAGATAGAAGCCCAAACTGAGAGACCAGGGGTACAAAACCAGCCAAAATTGATGCAAGTAACTTCTCTCCCAGGATCAAAAGCAACATGCAGTCGACTTTCCTTAACAAACACCTATTTGAAATACATGTAGGTGCCAGTCCCAAAAATGTCCATCTTAGTGAGACATGACTCATTATTTGTGAGAATTTTAATGTACAGTGGAATCTCAATTCTTGGGGAAGTTTGAAATAGAGAATGTAAAATGACAATTTGCCTGGTGAAGGGAAGTTAGTTTTCTTGGGAATTTCTTAAAAGAGAAGGTTCAAGAAACAAGGAATCTGCTGTATTATTAAACCAACTGTATCTTCTGCCAAGCTCTACCTTGAAGCCTGGAACACACTAAACCAGCCGAGGACATAGGAATAATATTGTTTTCTTGAGACATGATATAAAACTAATGGTCCTGTGTTTCTTTACCTTCTCTATGATTTGCTAATATAACTCCATTTATTCCAATGCCTGATTTTGCTACCAGAAGCGATCTCAGGTTGACCATTTCGGCAGTTAGTTTCTTGAAGTGATCCTTGTGTGGGAAAGAATTTTCTGTGTGATAGTGAAAATGAACATTGGTAAGAAATCAATAATTTTAAAGCTTTCAGAGTACCAGCCAAATAAAGCTGATTATTCACAACATGCTAAGTATTTTCATTTTGTTCGTCTCATTGCACTTGTAGAGGTTATTTAAGGTGGCTTGACTGGATTTTTTAGAGGCAAAGTGTCCTCCATGAAGATGAAATAAAATCCTTGTTTCTCAAAGTCACATTAAACTATCCCAAGGACTCTTCACATCAATCTCACAAAAAGAGATAAATCTAATATGAGATTAAATAAATTATTGCACCTGAAAAAAAAACTTTGCGGTCTACAGATATTAGCCTGGGTTGCAGCCAGAAACTTGAAACCTAGACAGAGAACTTGATATAAAATGTCTGCACAACTGCTCCCAAAAGCTTATATCCTGCAGGTTTGCAGGAAAACTGCATCCACTTCTGATTTGCTAAATTTCTAACGCACTCTGTGATAGGACATTTCTTCACACAACAATCACGCAATACTCCACAAGGCTAAAAAGTTGCAGTAGTACAAAAAAAAATTACTTTGCATAGCAAAAGGCCAAAGAGGTTATTTCTGTTATTTACAATGTATGCTGCTGTGTTTTAAAAAAAGGGTTTTGTTCCCTAAGGGATGGAAGCAATTTGACATTATTGACGAAATCGCAAGTCTAAAGTTATATCTTGACAGCTTTGAGATCAATAAAAAACAATAAGTCTGTAAACCCCTCTCTGTAGAAACTGCCTTGCAAAACTGAAGAAATCAGGAGGACTTATCGAGCAAATAGAAAATTTAGAAGAACTCAAGAGCCTGAATCGAAGTGCAGTTTCACTAGCATTAAAACAATCAGGAGAACTGCTGGTCAGTGATCAGGATGGCCTGACTGATGGAATCGAAGGAACTGGCATATCATTTAGATGACAAACCTGGTCCTCCATAAGCATTTACAACGTTGATATCACTACAATATAATTATATACTGGAACCTCAAGGTCTTTCGAAAAAAGCCTTCTCCACAATTGGAAGATATTGAAAATAAGACATTTGCCATGGTCAGTCGGCAAATTCAGAAAAATATGTTGACCTATTAGGTCAATTGGGCCAATATTCACTGCGGGAATTTCTGTTTAACCTCTTCCTTAACAGAAATTTTCGTAGTAAATTTCCTCATGCTGGTGGAAGATTACCTATTTCATACTGCACTTTACGTCTCTAAACGCTCTTGCTCACTTTTCTTCAGATAAAGTCATCATTTCCTTTTCATACACCAATTATTCAATGGAAAACCCAGGGAAATACAAAGGTAAAAATATTGTATTGTTTCTAGCATCGCGGTTGGATGGCGGAGTATCAGTAGATTGCTCTGAAAGGAAATACCGGTATCCAATCACAAAGCGTGTTACAAATTAAGCCAATCAGAAATGGATACAGATATCCCTGCAAACCTCCTGGATACCAGAACAAGCTTTTGGGAGCTGTTACACAGACTGTCTATATCGGGAATTTAGACTGTCTGCAACGCAGGCTGAAGGATATTAGCCAATTTTTACCGACAATAATTGTTCTGATCAGGAAAAAATTCATCCTTATCTAGTACAGATGCAGGGACTGTGTTCTGGTATCTTTGTTAATGGTGATTTACAGAGGCTCAAAATTGGGAGGTATGGCCCCTGACAAATCCAATTGAGCCAACTTAAGATTCTGTTCACAACTAAGATAATTGCGCATATTTATGTTAATTCATGATTCAGTGATGACTGATTTTCTTTCAGTCTGAAGTCATTTAATTCGAATAGAGTTAAATTAAAGGTAATGAAAAATTAACACCTACTGCTATTAAATTGCAGTTAAATGTATGACTTTTCACAGTATGAGGTCTTACAGCAATTAACGCCCAGTGGAGGCTGTAAATAATTTTAAAGTTACCAAATGGGAATTGTAGTTTTAAAATAGCTACCCCAGACTATATACTACGTATGAAAGCTTGCCGACTACGGCTATTGCATTCCAAAAGTAGCGTAATTTTTGCTTGTCATGAGCCAATTGAGAGCCTAATTAAAAAACCGTTGAATGAAACACTTTTGATCAATTTGAAGGACAATTAAAAATGAAATATGAAAGACAATTTTAACCACAACAAACCATACCACAGACGAAAACACTTGAAGTACATACGTAACAGTTTAAAGACAAACCGCTTTAGAATATAAAATTAGCAGAGAATTTACACAAGAGACTAACGAAAGGTCAACAAAACAGCTTTGAACGACGGTTTTGAGGAATTAATTTACAATTTGAATAATTTTCAACTACGACACAGAGATTTTTAGACACAGAATTTACTTTAAGCCATGAAACTCCCAGTTCCGTTTACCAATTTTAATTGATTGTTTTCTGAAGGATAAACGATGCCAGCTCACTGTTCGAATCGAACGATCGAATGTCAATATGCAACCCTCATACTGTCATGTTAAATGTTTCAGAGGATTAAGGCCGTGTTTTGGTATTCCTAAAGATGCATAGATACTTTCTCCATCCATATCTTGATATTATCCTTATCTAAAGTAATCTCCTCATTAATTGTCTGGGATAGCTTTCATTTTAAACATCATTTAAGCTCATAAGGAAGGGTAATGCGTTTGGACGAGCGAACACTTCTAAACTATAAGCATTATATACACACGAAGACTGAAATTCCGATCTCACCATGACTTGTAGAGTGCTTTCCATGAACGCTTTTCGCAACAGGACTCGAAAGTAGATCTCTGTGTAACGTTTCAAGCCTTTGTCCTACATTTGAAAGCTCTCTGACCAACTGTGCGTTGAATTCTGTCTCTGATGTTTTTGTTTTAGCTGACGAAGAAGACGAAGCGCGTTTCCTGAGATCTTTCAATTCCAAACGTAATTCACCGTTTTCCTCCGCTAATTTCGATGTAAGTTTCTTCTCCTCTCGCAGTTTTCTTGCATCTTCATTGTGACATGCTTGAAAACTCTTCAACATTTGTTCATGAGTATGTCTCTCGCCTGAGACTTCATTTCGTAAGTGGGCTAACTCGTCCCGAAGTACAGCGTTTTCCTTTCGAAGACGATCGAACTCGTTCACGTCCACAGAATTTATGTGCTTGGCGGCCATACCATACGCTAGAAAAGAATTCAAGGTACGACATTAATCCAAAACGAAGAAGGAACAATGAATTTCAGCTGGACCCTTGTTTTCCACGAGCGAAACCACACTCAGATTCACAGTTTGAAAAATTTGTTCACTACATGGAACCAGGATAGGCTGACCAATCACGAGTGAGGATTTATTTCCCGGGATCAATGAAACCGACAGGACCCAGGCTCCCATTCCCTGAGAAATAAAAGAACAAAAGCGGGAATGGGAGTAAACTTACAAACCCAGTAAATGGGAAAAGAGTGAACAGTAGCAAAATTTTTAGGTATTTGGCACAGTAACCCTGCCTTAGCCGAGTTTCTGGCCCTCTTTTGAACAAATTTGTAGGGGCCTTGCCGTCCAGGTTACGGTGTCCAGCGAATTACACATCTGAAGAAATCATGGTCACTCAAAATACATCTTGCAATCGTCGGTTTGCTTTTTTGGTAGATTTTTTTTGTGTTTTCGACTGGTCTTCGTATTGACCCGTTTCCCCGAGGGATAGCTAACTTCTTCAGTCCTTCTTCTTCATGGAAATGCTGCTGTTGTTTGCTTTAGGGATGTATGTTTAGAAGTTTGTATTGCAGCAAATTCTCGTAATTGGGTAAAATAAAGTAAGCACACATTGTTTTCGAAAATTTCGCGTTAATGTGATGCCCGGTGATGTAAACCTATCTTTTGGAAAATTCGCGTTAAGTTTGTGTAACGTAAATTTCCTTCGCCTAAAAATAAATAAAATAACTCTTTTTCGCGTTGTCAACGTACATCGTTATTAATTTCCTCTAATAAGGTAGTAGCCCCCTCCCCACCTCACCCCCTCCCTCAGAAAGGCGGCTTTCTACAGGCTAATCGAAGAAGGCTCTTTAAAAGAGCGACCAACAATTATCGACTATCGTTGTTTAATATACTGTACTCCTAGTCCTTGGTGATAGTGCATCAAATTCCCTGAGAAATCCATGCCAAATTAAGGACAATCCACATATTATTCAATCATTCCTTGGCCGCGGGACGTTCGCTTTTTCCTCAGTTACACTTGCAAACCCGTTTTTGAAAAATTCCCGGATCTGCCGCTGAAATCAGGTTTGTTGCAGGGTGAGTGAATGTAAGTTTCGCAAATTTATCTGTTGTTCTGACTGAGGGAGTAAAAACGACTCGAAGTAATCGTCTGAAATTCAGGCTAATCTGTTGGAAGACATGTTGATTTCTATACATAGGTGGTAAACCCTGCAGCATCGCTTTTTCGAGCTTTTAAACTCGTTTTGCAGCAATGATGCAAACCTGCAAGTTACACGTTTTTGTTGCTCGTTTTACCGTAGCTCACTGAATTGATAATTGTCGGTAGTACTGTAACGGATGATACGCTGCGACTGTAGGAGAAGCCAATTGTCACGCGGCTAAAACTATTTGTGGCGGCGAAACTCCGTGTGAGCGGGTATATTTTACTGGTCGATCATGAATCAACTGTGATCACGAAACTAGGAGCTAGTCCTTGATGGTGATTTTATTGACGATAATCGAACCGTAAACTGAAATATAATGCAACGTAACAAATAATTACTAAAAGCTAAAGTACAATTACAATTATAGTTTGGCTAGCAGATAATGTAACATTTTACTGACATTCCAATCATATTTTCATTTTCGTAGCTGTTCCGGTATAAAAACCTTGCCAAAAACGCGTAATGAGACAAAAGAAATATACTTATCGGAATACAGGAATAATAAATTTACCAACTAGAATATTAGACTAAATATACTTCATGAAAGGAATAAAATCAACTAAATTTGGGTACACAGGAGTAAAGAAACCTTCCCAAAAACAATAATGGTTGTTTCCTGCGAATAATACTATACTAAGAAACTAACAAAATAAATCTGACAACGGACTACGTTTGCAAAGGAACGAAAACTAAGTAAACTAAAAGAAATGAGATTCTCACGCCAAACTAAAAAGGTAAAAACCTACTTGAAACTCAAAAAAGGCGTAGTCACGTAATGGTACGAGATACCGAGTATTACAGTAACTTCTTGCAGGAATATACTTTATGGGTCGCCAGATAGACAAAACTACAGAAGATAAAATGTACTTACATATCGGTTCCCGCTTGCCTCTAAGTACCAAGAAATGAACTATCCAAATAGACTACAACGATGTACACATGAAGA